AGGCCCTAGGCGAGGATGAAATTACAGCGGAGCTTCTGAAAGCGGGTGGAAAACCGGTACTTGAACTCCTTCAAAAACTCTTTAATTCCATCCTCTATTATGGCACTACACTGGAGACGTGGAGCAGAAGTGCATTGGTCTTGTTCTTCAAGAAAGGTGACAATTCTCTTTTGAAGAACTACTGATTTATTTCCCTTCTTCGTTTACGTTCTTGCTTTTATGTAAGTAAATACTATCTGTTACCCGCAACTTCGACCGCGTGGAATTTATTACGATTGAATTTCATGGGTTGTAATATTTTTTTGCGCCTAACTCTAATTCTATTCCTAAAGTCGAAGTTACTACTGATAACATCAGGTATATGCCAGGGAAAGTCCAATCCAAATCGGTTCTCAGGTTTTTGAGTGATGCGTGTTCAGACAGACGTCGTGTTAGAATTTTATTATGGTATACATAGACTTTGTTAATATTAAAGATGCTCCTTTCTATGACTCTCTTTATGATAAGTGAATAATGTAAAATATTTTTGTTATATACTACTACACGTACTCACGTTACGTTAGAGATAAGTAATATTTATTAAGGATTAGTTGATTGAAGATGAATTAAGTGAAACATATGATAAGTTAGAAGTATTAAAGATTAGTCTAAGAAAGTTAGGCCCTCGAATAAGAAATGAACAGTTATTACTTAAATTTGAAGAGGCTGAAGTGATGTGTAAAACTTATATTTAATTAATAAAACCTTTAAGCTTTCTGATGTATTATCGGATGAATTTTATTATATTTTTGTGAGCAGTTTGCAGAAGATCCCCATTGTCAAAAGTTCCAGCAGGATAGTCTTTAAAATCGATTTTCAGCAGGCTGCCTATCCTGCTGGAACCTTTGACAATGCGGATCTTCTTCGAAAAGGCTAGTTTGAAGCGCAGACATCGTGTGGAAGCGTTGTGTATGATTGTAACCGTTAATTCTTACCCGGTGGGAAAAATAGTTATACCCAAACTCTACTGCTCTAGCAGAGGGCTAGTGATCACAGACGACCAACTTCCTCAGAGCCTGTGGCCAGTAAAGAGTTTGCTGATTTTTTTTAGTAAAAACAGTGTATAAACCAATCTTATTTTCTTCTTTAGCTCCAGATTTTCCAATACTATTCCGTCGATTCTTCTTGTGTAAGGAATTTTTTATTTTGAAAAAATAAAAAACGAAATATTGATAAAGGAATTGGTATTTGGTTAACTTAAATCTGAATAACGCCACATTCATAGGTCTTCTCACCCAGGCGAAGTCGGTCGGTATTATCAAATGGAGGTTGATAAATATGTCTACAAATAGTCATACGTTAGATTATTAATAATGTTAAACTTTTGTATCCACGCTAGATGGGTACGGATTTCGTTTAAATGTACTGCTCATAAAAATAAATTAAATATTTTATTAATATTCGCTTCTTGATCTTTATTGTATTGGTAAAACTGACAAAATGTGTAACACACAAACATAAAGGCACTATTATTGTTAAATACATGGATTTCAAATTGTAAACCTCATAACTTGATAGAATATTTTGTATTCATGCAGGAATGGCCATCTCGAATCGGTAATAACTTTGAACATTTTGTAAGTTTTAAGGTTTAAAGTTACTGCATTTGATACATTAACATAACTTTATATTCAGTGGCGTCGGTAAGAAGTTACTGGTGAAATCGTAAATTTAGCCGAACTTACAAACACGCGCTAAAATTGTAATTCACAAGTTATAGCTGCCATGAATCACGTACATTCGTAAATATACACTCATAAGGTTAAAGCAACGTGCTTGGCGTAGTAATATAATGACAAATCATAATTAAATTGCAACATATTAAGTATTATAATTTATGAACATATCGCCGTGGTAGCTCAGGGGCTAACTGCTCGCTATAAATATCATAGTACCACGTGAGCAACCCGAGTTTGATGCGCGGCGGCACCAATTAAATTATTATATTTTTAAGTGCCGATTCACCACATGCTCGGCGGTGAAGAAAAACATCATGAGGAAACCTGCAAGTCTGAGAAATAAAAAAATTAGGAAGACTTATATGTCTCGTTCGCCACACGCATTTGGACAGCGCGACGGATATTTCCTTGCCCTAAAACCCTCTCAGAAATGAGAGGCCTGTGCCAGCAGCGGGACGTATGTATATAGGCTGTAATTTTAACTTTTAACTTTAAGTATGTATGTATGCACAGACGTGTATTTGTTTTATATTTATTTATATAATATGTTTAATTTCATTTTAGCATATTTTTTTAACTTTTTTTTTTTGCAGAAAACGCAATAAGCATAAGGAATTAAGTTCTCCATAGTAACCCATAGTGTAACGTGTCTTACATTAATGATTAAATAAATAAAAAAATTAAAACCTAAACAATGGTTCGAAAAGTTTATAACATAAACAAAAAGTAATTAATAATATATTTTAAAACGATGCTTCGAAGAGGATTACGAAGATTAATTGATGATCATATATTAAATCGGTCAACACTTTTTTTGGGTCGGACTTCTGAATATCAAATTTTGGTTTGAAATCAAAATAAAGGGAAAATTGATTTTTATCATCGAGGTTTGCTTTTGCAAAACCAGTGCAATTTTTCGAATTTAAAATTTTTTAATTTTATAATAAATTATTATGAGAACTGAACGTCTGAGTATTTTTAATTCAAGAATAATGATTAGTATCAGCAAACAAATGTAAAATAATAAAAAATCAAGTTCAATAATGAAAATTTTTGTTGATTTTCTTGTCTGTATGGACTTTCCTGTATTAAAACTCAAATGTAATCCCATCATACTCTCGTTGTACTAGTAACTTCGTTCAAAGTCCATTACATCTTGGTGAAAACGCTCTCCTTGCTCCTCTAGGTAGACACGCATATTATCTTTAAAGATCAGGGTAAAAATCTTTTCGTCATTAAGTCTTGGCACCGTAAACTTCATGTGTCATTTTTCTCTTTGATACTAGACTAGAAATAACAAAACAACTAGTGTAATTACAGCTTAATGCATAAAAAATTATATAAATATTTTATTTGTAAATGTTAAAAAAAAACTCATATTTATAATATATCTATTATGTAAAAAAAAGAAGGAAAGAAGAAGGAAATTAAGAAGGAAATTATTATGTCATTAAGCAAGAGATAACATACACACACACACACACACACTCTCACACACACACACACACACACACAAACAGACACACACACGCACGCACGCACGCAAACACGCACGCACGCGCGCACGCACGCACACACACAACACACACACACACACACACACACACACACACACACATACACATACACATACACATGTAACATAAATTTCATTTCTGTTAATTATTAATTGTATAGTCTGACAGTATTGTTATTGTTATGTAATATTCTTCTTTTTTTGCTTATTGCCTGTTTTTATGTTTAAACTTATTTTTAAGATAACTTTTAAAAATCTAAGCACTATATAATTAATGTCATTAATTTGTCAATTAACAAGCGATAGTATAAATATTATGTATATAAAGTAAGAACCTGTAATTGGCATTAAGGATTATCTGAGAATTTCTGTTTATATTTATAACGTGCTGTTGGTTCTATGAACAATAAAGAAAAAAAAAATAAAGAGAATTGGCGTTGTGAGTTTTCAAAAATGAGTTTCAAAAATTCAAGTTGCCAAAATATTAACTCTTTTTGAACATTTTTTAGATTATAATTTTTAGTTTTTAGGGTTCCGTACCTCAAAAGGAAAAAACGGAACTCTTATAGGATCACTTTGTTGTCCGTCTGTCTGTCAAGATTCTTTTTCTCAGGAACGCGTGGAGGTATCAAGCTGAAATTCATATCAAATACTGAAGTCTACTGTCCCTTGGAGCTGTGAAATAATCAAACTGCTAAGCCATCGCAATCAAAAGATACAGCCGTTTATGCCGCAAATTTTCGACATTCGCAAAGGAATCAAAACCTACAGGATACTTCCCGTGAACTCAGAATCTTAAAATTTGGTACGAAGCAACGTATTATAGCATATAGATAAAGGAAAAATTGCGAAAAGCATAAATTTTTAGTTACATCATATAATAAAAATATTTTGAATAATTTTAAACTTATATACCTACGGATTTGTTCTGAACTCTCGGTGCGCGAGTCCGACTCGCACTTGGCCGGTTTTTTTTACTTTCGAAAGTACTTTTGCAGTTTGCACAGGCAAAGTTAGTTACCCATTTTTTTATCTTGATCCCGGATTCGTAGTTTACAAGCGGTAAAATTAAAAATTTTGTACAACCCACTTCAATATAAATGATTAAGGATAACTCAATAACTACTGGTCAGACCTTGATCAAATTTATATGGGACCACCTAGGAAACCCTTTGAAAGAAAAAAGAATTGTCTTTGTCTTTGAGTAATCGGTGACCATACACAAAAAAAGATTCCGACGAATTGAGAACCTCCTTCATTTGTAAAGAAAATTTTTTGCTTCTTACTTTAATTAAATCATCGCAAATAAACCAGAATGAATCAAAATCTTGTTTACACCGTCTTGATGCCATTTTCTAGCTCTATGTATACACTCTATATATACACAAATATAATCATTTATTCATGAATAAATTATGATATTTGTGTTGGAATAGAGTAACGTATCCAATATGTAAATAGATCCAAAAGAGTTTATTTTCAATAATAACTTTTTCTCAATGCACTAGTGTTTGTTGTTTTTTCATATGATTATAAAATGTTAAAATTCCGCGCCTTTGAACAAAAAAGTATATAATCACGAGATTTTATTTTAAACTTTGGTTTTATTTTTTTGTCATTTTTGACAATTTGTAAATAAGTCTGTTTATATCCTCTTTATATTATTTATACTAATTGCTATATAATGTTGATGTAAACTCCATGTTATAAAAACTTATTGAGTAATAATCCACATACTAAAGTTCGTGAATATAAAGAAAAAAAAAATGGCTGATGACGATGACGAAGGAGAGTTCGGTGGCTTGTATGAAGACGGCCATTGGGTTTGGGATGATATTTTGCAAGCTTTGGTTTTCGTAAGGTTGAATATTGCTATAATAAATAAAATATATTTTTATAATTTTATATAATTGACCGCTTGAGTTACCGTGTAGTTGCGGTGTAAGGGCATCCAATCCCATATAATCCCATGGGTGTCACAAGATCGACAAAGCGATATGAAGCTGGAGAAGAGCAGCAAAATAATAAAATAAAAAACTGCGGTTCCAAAGCAGCCTTCAAAGCGTGGCAACTATGGCAAACCTCCCCCGATTAGGCAATCTAATAATACTTATCTTCACGCACAATCCCTGACGGGGTAGCCAGAGAGAACAGATCGCCAAGTGTCACGATCCTTACAAACCTCTTTCGCTTCTTTCAGATTCATTATCTTCTTCATGCATGCACGTCTAGGTATCCGAGTACTTTTGACTTACTTGGGGAGTGCTTTTAGCCGGGATGGAAGATGTGATTTAGATGTGGACAGGCGTGTCGCTGCCGGGAACAAAGTCAATGGTGCCCTGACTGCGCTAGTCAAAAGGCAAGGCGTAGCGAAGAGTGCACGCCTTGCAATACATAACGCAGTGTTGGTACCGACTTTGTTATATGGCAGCGAAACCTGGGTATGCCAGAAGAAGCATAAAAGTAAGTTGAATGCAGTGGAGATGCGATCTCTTCGTAAAATGTGCGGCGTTACCATGGCCGACCGAAAGCGAAACGAAGAGATTCGCAATATGGCAGGTTTGAAAGATGACCTTATCACAAAAATTGATAAGGGCGTGCTTCGGTGGTTTGGGCACGTTGAGCGAATGAGTGAAGACCGAATGGTGAAGAAAATATATAGCGCGAAAGTTAATATTAAAAGGTGTCGAGGTAGACCGAGACTAACTTTCGAAGACCATGTGAGCAAATTGCTCGAAGAGGGTAGGGTCAAAAGTACTCGGATACCTAGACGTGCATGCATGAAGAAGATAATGCAATCTAATAATAATGATCATAATGATGATGATGATGATTTGTGGCGGGGCAAGAGAATCCATCCTGTTATTTCGGTCTGTGGGTATCGTAAGAGGTGATTATGAGAAAGACCAAAAATACTTCTGCTAGATGGCAATAGGCGAAGTGTCAAATGTGCTAAACCTGTAGTACTGCTTATTTCAATCCGTCAACTAATCGTCACGATAAGCTATTTCATTGCTATAGTACTCGTAGTGCTCTTGTTCAGGAGTAGACTGTTACGGGTCAATAATGGAAGCAATAATGATGGGATAATAAACGAGTACTTGGGCGACTGCGGTACACTAGGCTTTAGAAAAAAAAAATATTTAAAATAATTGTAGCTATGAAACTAAAAATGCTTCTAAATACTAATTAGATAAATCATCAAAACTGTTTCTCAACAATCTTATATTTTTGACGCTTATTATGTAAGTAGAACAAAATATTATGTATCCTAATTCGTTTCAGCGATCTCCCGGAAAAAGAAGTTGAATTCATTCAGATTCCGATCAAGGCACCTACCGGGACAATTGAGTTTAGAGACGATGTTGATCTAATCGAGCAGGTGACTAATTACAGATTTATATACTATAGGCTCAGCTTTAGAAAGAGGTCAAATAGTTTGTTTTCCTTTGTGTAAAATTTATTATAATTTGTTATTCTTAGGAAATTTGCAAAATATTCTTGCTTTTCTTCTTCATCAGCCCACAACAATCCACTGGTGAAAATGGGCCATAACCGTTGTAAGGAGGCAAATCAATCGCAACGCTTGAAAAGCGGATAACAATCGCAGGTCCTGGCGTCTCACACTTTTGACTCTGTGCCGGTTCGGGTATTTTACGTTTGACATAAATATAGTTAAAAATCATGATGTATCTATCGAAAACATTTCGAAAGCATTTTCCATAGTCGCCGCAAAGTGGACTGAAACGATCAAAATTACGCGCGAGGCATTAAATCTAATCCAAATGAAATATTTTTTTTAATACTCGTAATTATGTCTGCTTTCTTGTAGCACTGCGCAAATTTACCTTTTAGGAGTAGAAACCACCCCTTTCAACCCCTAAGCAGGCTAAACCACCAGATTCTGGGTAAAACGAGAGAGACGGGAGAAGACTTAAAGAGGAAATGGGCAGCAGCATATTTCTGACAACAACTCTAATAAAGTAATGCGGTTTCCAACCCACCTGACAAGCGTGGTAACTATGGCAACGTATAGGGCAATATAGGAGGCCTATGTTATATTAGTATTTAGGACTTTTGTCTGTATGTGTATTCACAATTCACGCTAAACTACTAGGAAGATTTCCATGAACTTTGGAATGTAGGTAGTTAACGACCTTAATTAGTATGTAGTACTTTTTATGTCAGTTTTGAAGTGAAGTTTATTTTCAAAATGGTTGCTGATTATTCTATTAGTCACACTGAGGACAATGTAGAACATTTAAGACGTATACTTATACACAAAAAAAAAATATAATCATCCTTGTGACGTAGTTGGATCTGCGCCGATTTGCATTATACCTACGTTTTTTAAAACGGCGCCATCTATTAAAAATGAAAAAAGAGTCAGGTTTTTCTTTAGTTATTAATCGTTAAATTAATTAATGCATAATAGCGGTTTATACAGTTATATGCATAAACTGCTTTGACAATTTATATTTTAATTATTTAACTAGACGAATAAGAGCCCTATCTATCAAACATGCGTAAATTGAGATAGACTAGTTTATTTACTAACCCAAATATACTTGTCGCTTATAATTTTGATTCCGGAGAGCATTAAAATTTTTATCGTAACTGATATTTGTGTATTGAAACAGAATGCTAATAAATGCTTATTCGGGCAGTATAAGCATTTATAATATAAATTATAATAGAAACGTATGTAAATTGTCAGTCACCTTATATTCATTTATTACAGACCATCAGGAGTCCACTGCTTTACCACTGCCACTGCCAGTGCTGGGGGGTATTTCTCATGGTTGCCACGCTTGGCAGCGTGCGGGTTGGTAAGATGTTGTTGAAAGATGCTGCCGCCATTCTGTGTCCTTTCATTCTGTTGCCTCTTCTGATACCCACGGGTTAATATGATGGGTAGTGGACTTTTTCACGCCGCCACTACATGGCGATCTGGTATAGAACAATAATGATCTTCGTAAACCGAAAGTCTATGAGAGCAAGGCCGCGGAAAATAAAAAATCGTAAAAAAGTTTCAGTTTACAGACGAAAAATTTAATTTTATTTTCGGGCTACCCAAGTTTATGGAATTATGTAAAGGATACTGATGTCAAACAATCGAATTTTAGAACTTGGATCTATCTGTATATTCATGATTCAGAGATTATTTCTAATGAAAGATTGAGTACACCGACAATTCATTTGCTTTACTTCAATTTTTTACCCTTCTCTATTCTTGGTTATTAAAAAGATTGCCTCGTTGGTCTAGTGCTTGTAAACGCTACTGCTGATCATCAGGTCCCGGGTTCGAATCCCAGACCGGGCCAAAATAAAATCAGTTATTGAGTTTTTTCGTCAAGAAATTCTCAGGACCGGAGCCAGGAAGTTGGCGGTGTCTGACCCCCGTGCTTCGGAAAGCGCGTAAAGCCGATGGTTTGATCTCTCTCCGGTTGAGTCGGATTACCGTCCCATCGGACTATGAGAGTGGGGGAATAGACAGCGCACTTGTGCTTGCGCATATACTTGGGAATCCTGTCCTGCGCCGATGGCTAGTCTCCGTTGAGGCTGGCCGCCGTGCCATGACCGAAATTCGGTCTGAATGATATTGATGACGAAATTCCACTCGAGTTAAGGGAAAAGCTGGTTGCAAATAATTTGGTGTCAGAGTTGCGCGTGTTATAATACTATAAGTTAAGCACAGTTAATTTGATTTCCAATAAAGTATTTAACAATCCTATAACATGATAAAAAGTGTCATTCATTCATGTAAATATTTTATCAATTACATAGATTCGCTTCAGGCGGCGTTATCAAAGGAAACTGAAACCAGGGCAAGCTGATGTTATAACATTACAGGTGATAATCTTCTTATTTTAATATCCTGTTTTGCACAACTTCTATATTCTGGCTAAAACGTGCAAATGATGAGACAGTTTTACCCTGACGCATCCTTGCAGGTTCCTTTTCTTCCTTGTTCGTTTGGGTAGGTCCCACCTTTATAAAGAAGAAGTCTAAATTTGCGAGTATATAATCTTAAGTACATACAGACACAACAACGCACCTTCAGTCTTGTTGCTTCTTACCACTATCCTACGGTTGTGGTAAAAATTACGCTACGTTAAATTTATTGCTATTTATATTTATACGTGGTAGAGCCATGCTGCATCTATAGTTGTAGTACGAATGGGTCGGCTCGACCGGGGAAGGACCACGCTCTCACAGAATACCAGCGTAAAATAGCAGCTTAACGCTGCTGTGTTTCGTATGGTGAATGTAGACAACCGGAGACCCTTTTTACTGGAAACGAGGCATTCCATCTTAGTCCTCACGGGTGACAACGCATCTGCATTTTGACTCTTAATCGAAGATAGATGTAGATGTCTATGGGCCACAGCGACCACTTACCATCAGGTGGACTGTGTGCTGGTTTGTCACCCTTATCCTTTAAAAAAAATCTATTACAGCGTTGCGTAATTTTTACCACATTTTTGCCGCATATTTTAGGTTTGCAGCCACAGCGTACCGGCTGCGGTAGATATTTTCGATTTGGTGGACTGTAAACTCTTACTCTTATTTTAAACTGGTTCGTTACTTTTGCTTATATACTGTACTTGTATACAAATAGAGAGGCTTTTGCAGTCAACACTTCCTCAGAATTTTAAAACATCTGTATAGCGTTATGTATAGCTGTATGTATAGCGATAAGGAGCTAATGACCTGATTACTACGCAGGTAGTACAAACACTAGGTAAAGCCGTGAAAAATGAGGCATAGTTATTCTATATAAATTTATTATGTATGTAATTTTAATTAAGCAAATTCATCGGAGTCAGGAATAAGTATCCTTGTCTTAATATTATTTTTCTACATCTTCCTTACGCATACTAATTTGTATGTATATGAAAATCTCGATGTTTATGTCAATGAAAATTGCTAGAGATATGATTCTATGTACACACTAGGTAGATTATCTGTCCCATAGATTTATAAGATAAGCGTAAAAGTCTAAGTCTGTGATCTAGGTTTCTAAGACCTATTGTAATCTAAGTTTTGTCGAAATCGAACAATTAGTTTTAGATTAGATATTAATAATATTTGCATCGGAGTCAAGGACAACAGGACTGCAATACGCTACGCCCTAATAAATATAGTAGTAGTAGTAATAATAGGATGTGATCGTGTTATGAAAGTCCTAATGAATCTTACAATACGTCCTAGCTTATCACCGATCTTATGCAAAAGGTTATGATCGGGTGTGAACCTCTACTGGCAATGTGGCATCCCATCTTAGTATCAGAGCCGATAATTTGATTCAATATCGAAAGTGGGTCTAGGTATTTGTGGGCCATAAAATAAACCTCATAATTCTTTCCTTACAGTTTTTACCCCAGCTTAAAGTTACAGTAGACTGCTAGGCACAGGCCTCCTCTCATTTCTGAGAGGGTTTTAGGGCAAGGAAATGTCCATCGCGCTGCCCCAATTTGTGTTGACGAACTTGACATGTCTTCAAAATATTTGTTTCATTTTTCCTAGACATGCAGGTTTCCTCACGATGTTTCACCGCAGAGTACGTGGTAAATCAACATCTCAGATTACTTGAGGACATATTTTACGAGAATTCTAATGTATTTTATATATAAGATTCGCAATAAATATAATCTGCATAATTTATTTATTTATTAATTTGAGGAAGGCTTACAGACTAATATCTTCGTAAAGTTACAAAATGGTGATAAGAATTGCTAATTACAAGCCTTTACATATTACGTTTGTGTATAAAATATAATAGTTGAACTTTTTTTAGTATGGTATTTTATAGCACTACTTATAATGTACTGCGCGCCCGTTTGCTTTCAATAAATCATCATACAATAAGTCCATAATGTTCATCAAATTTTGTGATTTACAGGATGTAAAGGATATCGCTTTGTTCACTGCGCCGGTTAATATATTGAGCCCCATGCTAATAAATTTATTGCATTTACCTACTACTGAAAGATTCATACGAGCGCTTATTTTTTACAGCCAGTATTATTTACAGGTACAGCACTACAGAATATAAAAACATTATTTTTGGTTAGCTTTGCGACTTCGGTTGTTTTATGTGTTGGCTTTGATATACATATTATATAATATGTTTGTAGATTTCAGATGAAATGGGGAAACGTATTTTAGAACATGACGTCAAAATTCGTACGCCACAAAGTGAGATTTTGGAAAACGAATTTCGAGATAATTTATCGGATTTACGATTATTAGTTGCCAAGGAATATAGCACAATGCTCATAGGTTTGTCCCGAATTAGGTTTTTTATTTATAATATCTATAATAAACTTGATTAATATTCAAGATTAGTTGTAACACAAATGGGTCGGCTCGACCGGGGAAGGACCACGCTCTCACAGAATACCAGCGTAAAATAGCAGCTGTGTGCTGCTGTGTTTCGTATGGTGAGTGTAGAGAACCGGAGACCCATTTTACTGGAAAAGAGGCATTCCATCTTAGTCCTCACGGGTGACAACGCATCTGCATTTTGATCCGCTAACGAAGATAGACGTAGACGTCTATGGGCCACAGCAACCACTTACCATCAGGTGGACCGCTTGCTCGTTTGTCACCCTTATTCTATAAAAAAAACAAACAACTTTGATGTAAGTAAATAAGATTTTTGTTCAAATGTAATTTTACTAGGTGGTGGTGATACGCGAAAATTTCATCATATGGGTCCACAGAAAAAAAGGAAATCATTATCGGACAAAGATGCACGACTTTTTGAAACCTTGTTGCGAATGTGCGTCCAAATTGTCTGGTTGGCTTTGGGGCGCAAGGCTTTTAATCAGATAGGTTAGTAACGCCATAAATTACATTTTGGTATGTTATATTGTTTATTGTATTCCATTGATTGTATATTATATTATATTGTATACCAAAGGTAACCTTGACTTCACATGTTACTTATCGAAATATCACTACGATAAGAAATGTTTTATTCTTACAGAATATGCCAAGATGGTATTTATGCACAAGTACTTTTAGGTAGATACTTGCTTGCAAATAACATGGAACACAAAATAGCTTTTTAATTTGCACACGGGATTTGTTATTTTCTATCAAATTTTGTATAGATCGTAACGTGTTTCTTATAATTTACCCATTCTTGTTTTTCACTAAGCCAATAAAAGTAAAAGTCCGCTGCCCAAACATTTTCATGGAAATTATATGTGTAATATGTGTGATCGCTCCGCTAGACAGTGTAGTTGACTATCTTACTACGATTATATTTTATTTATTTACTAGCTGTTCCCCGCGACTTCGCCCGAGTGGAATTTTTGTGCGCGGAACCCTAAACTAAAAGTAGCCTAAGTTACTCCTTATAACATCAGCTATCTGCGAGTGAAAGTTTCATCCAAATCGGTTGACAGGTTTTTGCGTGATGCGTGTTCAGACAGACGTCGTGTTAGAGTTTTATTATAGTAACTAGCTGTTCCCCGCTACTTCGCCCGAGTGGAATTTTTGTGCGCGGAACCCTAAACTAAAAGTAGCCTAAATTACTTCTTATAACATCAGCTATCTGCCAGTGATAGTTCCATCCAAATCGATTCACAGGTTTTTGCGTGATGCGTGCTCAGTCAGACAGACGTCGTGTTAGAGTTTTATTATGGTACAGATTATAGATAGATATAGATATAAATAGTAAGCGATAGCTTGAGAAAAAACCTAATAGAGATATCCTCATTTATACATACATACATACATACATACATGTATGAAGAGGGATGAATCTGAAGGCGAATTGCTGGTGCGTTGCCGGCCTTTAAAAAAAATTACTTTTTTCTTGAATGTTCCTAAGTAGCTGATAACACAAAAAACTACTGCGAGGAAGAAAACTTCTGGTAAATAGAACAGTGGTGGACGGTCAATCAGCCAGAAAATATAGATGGTGTCGCTATGTGCGATGGTGAAATTCAGCGGCTGGAGTTAGTCTGAACAACTTCTCTAAGTTTTCCCCGTGGTAGATGCAATAAAATATAGGAAGTGATGAATCATCGAGTCAAGAAGAAAGAGCTTAGTCGTCAACGATAGGCAATATGGGTAGTTAATTAAAATAGTATGAAACAAAGTCACTTCCCGCCGTCTATACACTTAGATCCTTTAAATTACACTACGCACTTTGAAGCAGTTTTCATCAATAGATAGAACGATTTAAGACAAAGTTTATCTGTATAATTACATGCATATTATTATATATTATATAATTCTTCTGTCCGTGTGTATGTGAAACTCCTCCTAAACGACTGGACCGATTTTGATGAAATTTTGTGTGTGTGATTAGGTGATTAGAGAATGGTTTAGACAAGCTATACTCAGCCTGTCGCGCCTTTGTGATTAGCACATCTGAGGTTCCAAATTTATATAATACTGATGTGGTGGTACAGGGAATGGAACTATTTCTTCCATCATCTGTGGTATCGGAGGCAGATCTCAGCCTTGGTTTGCTCGCTCCTATAAGACTGCATTACGCAGTAAGCAGGAGTGTTATCAGGCCTGAGCTGAGGCTTCGGCGGTTCGAGATGTAAGCTCTAGCATGCTTAAAAAGAAGTATAACTTCGCCTCCAGGCCCTTCAGAAGAGTTATTGAAATTAGTTCGTCCTGGTCTTACGCCGAGGCTGTTCAAGGGAATTTCTGTAAGCCATCACTACCATACCTGCACAGGGAGGACGACTCACTGGCCCACGCCGCAAAAGAGAAAGCCGACCTTTTAGGCTCCCTTTTTGCGTCCAACTCGACTCACAACGCCGAACGAACACATCGCCGACCATACCGCAGTGTGATTGCTCTGTGCCTGATGTGCAATTCATACAGTGCTCAGTACGCAAAGTACTCCTCTCCCTGGAAATTCACAAGTCGATTGGGCCTGAAGGAATCGCGCCAATTGAGCTGAGGACGTGCACTCCAGAGTTGGCACCGATTCTAACGTGTCCTTTCCGGTACTCCTAGGCATTGTTCCGAATTCATGGAAGACAGATTTCGTGCATCCGATCCCTAAAAAAGGTAACCGCTCTGATCCGTCCAACTACAGGCCTATCGCCAAATCACCTCCTTGTTCTCGAAAATAATGGAGTCTAACTATCAGCTGATGCGGTACCTTGAGAACCACCAGCTGATTAGTGACCGCCAGTACTGTTTCCATTGGGGTCGCTCAGCTGGTCATCTTCTTGTTTACCTAACACATAGATGGGCACAGGCGATCGAGTCCAAGGGTGAGGCATAGGCCATTAGTTTGGACATAGCGAAGGCTTTCGATCAGGTCTGGCACAAAGCTCTTCTTACGAAGCTTCCTTTCTATGGGCTTCCTGAGAAATTGTGCAATTGTATCACCAGTTTTCTGGCTGATCGGAGCATTAAGGTCGTAGTAGATGGCGTATGTTCCGATTACAAGCCTATTAACGCTGATGTTCCACAAGGCTGCGTACTATCACCAACACTGTTCGTTCTGCATATCAATGATATGTTGCAAACCGGTAACATTCATTGCTATGTGGATGACAGCACTGGTGATGCTATATACACCAGCCGTGCGAATATTTCTCGGGAAAATGTCGCCGAGTACCGGAACAAACTTGTGTCTGAAGTCGAGTCTTTGCTGAACGAAGTCTCGGATTAGGGGTGACTAAATCTAGTCCAGTTTAATCCGCAGAAGGCACAAGTATGTGCGTTTATCGCTAAAAAGATCCCCTTTGTCATATTTTCTCAGTTTCAAGGCACTCCCCTTGTTGCCTCTGCTAGTATCGAAATCCTCGGCGTCGACATGTCGAGTGACGTGCAGTTTCGTGGTCACTTGTAAGAGAAGCCCAAATTGGCCTCTCAAAAGCTTGGCATGCTCAGCAGAGCGAAACAGTATTTCATGCCGGCACAACGCCTGAAACTTTACGAGGCGCAGGTTCGGCTTCACATGGAATACTGTTCCTATCTTTAGGCTGGGGCTCCTCGCAGAGCAGCTCGAATCGTCAACGACAGAGTCGTTTCCGATCGGCTCGATTCACTGGCTCTGCGAAGAGATGTTGCATTCCTTTGAATTTTTTTTCGCATCTACTATGGGGTGTGCACTGAGGAATCATTCGGATTAATCCTGGGCGCCAAATTTCACTAACGCACATCGCAGCAAAATTCCCAATATCCATCCACACCATCTCTATGCTTGGTGGTCCACCACTGTGCGTTTTATTAGAACTTTTCTTCCACGTACAATTTCTCTGTAGAATAGCTTACCACCGGCGATTTTTCCGGACCGATATGATTTAGGGACCTTCAAGAAAAGAGTTTACTCCTTTGTAAAAGGCCGGCAACGCACCTGTAATTACCCTGGTGTTGCAGTTGTGCATGGGAGGCGGTAGTCACTTACCATCAGGTAAGCCGTATGCGCGTTTGTCCCCTGTCTTATAAAAAACACCCACAGAGGACGGTTCCAATATTTCGGAAGAAAACTGCCCCATAATTTCAAATTATATAACTGCACTTTTAAACGCATTTCGAAAAAGGTTTCAAGATCTAAAATAAAAGTTTGTTACTTATAGAAAATCAATGGCATTTAGAAACTACGACTATCTCAGATTTGGCTTCCGTTTTGAATTGTAATTACTCAGAGTGGTTTTAAGAATTCATAGATTTTAAAACGACACCAATCTACAAGTTCTGTTTAAAGAAAAAAGGGCAAACAGGGAATATGTTTAATTTCAAAGTATTGTTCCCCAAAAATATAAAAGTGTCCAAAGATGTGCCAAAATACTACTAACATTCCTTGGGTCTACGTATGTGTGCGAATCGTCTTTTTTAAAAATGAAATACACTAAGAACGTTCATAGAAACAAACTTACAGATTCTCATCTGGATGATGTAATAAGGATAGCATGTAGCGGCTAGTCAGATCTTGAAAAAGTTTTGAAAAAGTATTCACAGTATCAAAAATAGCATTAAAAGATATAAACATCTTTGTTACAATTTCGTTTTTCATTAATAAAGTAAATACATCGTTAACTTGTTTGTGTCCCCTAATAAAAAATGGTTGAGTATGGCTGGTTTAGAAGAGTTTAGAAGTCTATTATTTATTCTGTGGTTTAGACTAATAATTGGGCCAGGTAGGTGACGTTATTGTCGAGATCCAGAAAGCGAAGCCGGGGCGGATCCCTAATAGGTAGTTAAATGGAATACATTTTAATTCCTTTAAAAGTCTTAAATGTTGAGTATACTATAATGTACATATTTTAGTTTTAAGCTGTTTGTCCTCCGAAAAAAAAACGTATCTATCACCGTTTTTTATAAATTAATGAATACAATTTTCTTTTTGGACTGAGGAATATTTTGAAAATGTAGTAGATTAAATAATAAAGAAAAACAAAGAGTGTTCATTTTATGTATCATTATTCATAATTTGTAATAGGTATTTAGGATTTAAGATTGGTGATACTAATTAATAATTTATTTTTAGAACTGGAAATAAATAGAATATTTAAGTCGGATATATTCAATGCTGTGGAGCATAATTTACGCACAGGATATTTGTCGAAAATGACAAAAGAGGAGCGGGATGCATTGCTAGGTTATTGTATACGCCGTGATAAGAAGTTAACTACGCGCTCACCATTATCAAATGAAGTGTTTTGTCATAGAGATATAGATTTTCGCACGTTAGGTCTTGGAGTTGTCAAGTATTTGCAGTAAGTGATGATTTTTATGACTATATTTTATAGAGAGGTAACTATGATTTATGAAAAATATTTAAACTATAGAGATCGTTGCTGTCGCTCACTTATGACTCCAGATTAGTACAGTCTTGCCGTCAGCGTTCACTCGTTGACTGGTCGACAACTAGGCGAAGTCATACCGTTCTTCGGGTGATGATAATCGGTCACAGAGTCACCTTCACTGACACCTCAAACATTACTATTCTTGTTTCTTAAAATCAAAATTTAGGATCAATCTAGCCGCCAGTATACATGATTCACTTCAGATTTACCACTCGTGGACGGAGCTCGTTCGTTCACTCTCAACCGGCGAATTGACAACTTGTAGAGCCAGCAAAGAAACAGCGGGTTATCAACGAGTTCACCTACAAAATTTTTGGGCACTATTTTGTGTATAGTTGTCAACAACTATACACAAGATTATACTGCATTTATTCGCAGAGTAGAACTAGAGTAAATGACATCCACCTCACCCTCTCGAAAAGTTTATATAAGTCGATAGGTGCAGGTAGCTTAGGACCGTGTCGACTTTTAAAGGAAGTTAACATTTGATATGAAATTCAGAATATCGTTGGGGAGAATCCTAGCTTGAAGGACACAAAGAATAATGTCATTTAGTCGACACTACTGCTACATTCTTTCTCAATAATGTGGCGGATGATGAATCTTTAACCCGTACGCATTAACTACTACCGATTGACATGATTAAGTTTTTCTAGGTTCTATATTTTATATCTTGTGTGTATATATCTAATATAGATTGTGTATTTAGCAAACCCGTCACTGTATTTATCAAGGTTACGGTCAGATTCATTTTTTACGGTATCTGCTAAGGGACGGCTGTTCAAGTGGTTTATTAAATCCAAAATTAAGTTTGCTTGACTCAATCTGAGAATGTTACGTAACTACACTTGTAATGATATCAGAGAGTGAAAAATGTGTATGAATTCGTGATAATATCATATATTATCTGTACTATAAGTATAGGTACTTGTTATATCTGTACACAGATCTATACATACTCGTATAATAAAAATGTAAATTGCAATTGTTTGTACATTTTATAATTTTGTGACAAAAATGATTGAGAAGGACTAAAAATAAATAATTAAAAACATCATTTTTAGAATTTTCTGTTTGTTTTTTTATGAACGTATCACGTCCTAAATGCTGATTGGATTAAGTGTTTGTTTTGTTTAAATCGGTTCATTCTATGAAAAGATATGATTATTATTTTGAAATGTAGGTACGAATTTTTTCAGTAACATGCAGTTAAGTGCATTTTAATCTAAACTTAGAAATCGCAATTAATTGATTTAAAATAATGTTCTAATATGATTTACTAATACCTTAAAGACAGTAAACGAAAAAATAGTCATTTTTTTCACAAAGATTAATATAATAGGTATCATCTTAGTCAGAAAAAATACAATAGTTAACCAGTGGCATCAATAGATGGTGTTAACTGTTAAGCAAATGGCTATAAAAAGGCGGGCTGTGTTTTCCTTTGCTGTAAATGGCATCATGCTGATCTTTATAGTAGTTGTAGGCGGATTAACTTCTATACAAATGTATCCGTAAAATGTTGTGATCTAGAACCATGACGTCCCTCTTGAAAAACCTTTTATAAAATATCAATACTATTATTGTTTGAGTTGGAACAGTAGTGTAGTTTATTGAACATAATCAATGAAGCCCAGAACTAGACTCGAATTTCATAACAAATTACTAATAAAGATTCTGTGCCAATGAAGGCGCGTTCACAGCTAGTTTATAAATAAAATTGAAGCATTTGTCTGTAACATTAAAATATCTGCCTTCTATTAAGTTCCGGGGGTTGTTTTCATGTTATTAAGACATGAATAACCGTTTTTGAATTTTTTCGTTTGTTGGTCTGTCTGTCCGGGTTAATTTTAGGAATAGCTGAACCGATTGTGGTGAAACTTTACAAACAGATAGAGAGCACGCCTAGAGTGAGCAATGCTACATTTTATCAGAAAAGCTTGGTGATTTTTTGTGGAAACAATAATTGTTAAAATAAAAGGTGGTTAGTGATAAACTTAAATTTAAATTATGACAAAACTGATATTAAACATCACCTAGGCTAGGTCGGGCGGGTCGCTATTTAATAAATAAATAAATAAAAGTCGGGTTGCAAAAGTTTTACGTTTAGGATAAAGCTTACGATAGTAGCTTTGTAACGACTTTATAACAATATAAAACGTTTTTTAAACAGATTGCCGCCAAGGCAAGCTTACATGATGCAAACTATAGCAGGTCCTGAGGAATCGCTCGTTGAACTTGGAATAGTTTTGGGAATTATTGGATTATCTCGATCGAAATTTGATACCATGCTAAGACCTTTGCCAACGGTTACCGATACTGCGAAATCGAAGGTTTCCATGTTAGTACAATTTCTACATTTTTATTTAACAAATTGTAGATAGATGCATATAACATATAAATTCAGTTAATTAAGTTTGGTAATTTTATGTGTGTGTATCATGTGCTCGGCAGTTAAAGAAACGTGGATGTCTGAGAAATAATATTATGTGGTTTGCTGGGACGGACTGTGAAATTTTGCTAACACTACTGGGCCTACATAATTAATTATAATTATTTTAAAAGCTTCGATAGCCATTGTCTTCAATGGGGGTTAGGGGCTATTTATATCCTCGGGGCTCTGGGCTGCCGCACAAAAATACTATAATATGTAGGTAGATCCGCCTCTGGTTTTTTGGACATGTGAAGTCCGCTAACACCCATCGGCGGGCTAATCGCTTCATAGTCCTTTCAGAAATGACAGAAGGCCTGTGCCCAGCTGTGGAAAGTATATGGGGTGTAATTTAATTTTAATTTTACTTTTATAAAAAAAAAAGTAGAAACCAGGTTTCGTATCTTTTAAGCCCTTATCATGTGACTTATCAGCTAGATGCAACATGTGTATGTTACTCTGTTTCCTCATAACTTGTAAACTATTTATCCTAATTTGACAAATGAGGTAACGTTGGAAGCGTCTTGACCGTCCGCGGCTTATAGTTTATGTAACGTCACACTCAATTAAATATGGCGCCCTCTAGAGGACATAAGATCATGAACTAAACATTTTTTCAATGATGCCATGTAGGGTATCAAATGAAAGGTCTTATAATAATATTAATATTGTTTGCTGTCGCTAGCGTCTTTGCTTACATGCAACCTATAATTGGGAACAATTTCTAAAATCACGCCTTAGATGTGGGTCAAACACAACTGACAGTCGTCTCTATTTACCTCTCGCTCGCACACTCCCGCTATGTATACTCACACCTCTCGGTAAAGACTGCATAAAAATATATGTTGCGATATGCGTTTTTCGGTACGTTCTGTAACTTCAGTCCAACTTGTCATTGGAATCAATGATAACAAATTCTCACAAACTACAAAAAATCAGTCCGACTGCTAATTTGTGAGTTACGACGCGTTTTGAGAGTTTTCTTTATTTTCTTTATTTTATTTTCTTTATATATATATATTGTTGATTTTGTTCGGTAATATTTTTGTATAAAATATTAACAAGAGTGATTTAGACTAAATTTTATCCGTAAAATCTAGAGATTTTATTAAAATAGAAATATTGATAAGATAAAATAAATAAATAGTCTTTAATGATTATCTTAAGTCTACGAGTCTCGTAAATAACGCCACATTAATAAATGTTAAAATTAATATACCTACTTGTGTATATAATTCTGCAAATATATATTCATTTATAGACAATTTACAACTAACCGAATAATATAACGTTATAACAATGTGCAGTTTTCACTATTCATACTGTGCATGTTGACGGTACGAGCTCGATGAGCCGCCAATTCTAATACCATTCTTTATTTGTACGGACTATAAGTTGGATATATTACCTACATACATGTAAAACAATAAAACCTAAACAAAAAATGTAATGCGGCTATGCAAATACTTTATCGCGAAATTATAACCCCAAAATAATTTAAATCCAATACTAAAACCAGACTTTTGAAAAATCACGCTCTAAAAACTATGAAACAAGAAATTATTCTCATCTGAGATTGTAATGTCCAAACTATTCAGTATTTGTCGTCTTTTAAATAAACATCAACAAATGAAATGAAAATGTTATAAAACCTGTTTATAATGATTAATAATAATATCCTCCAGACTGAATTTTGGAATTTTGGCCGGCCTCAACGGAGACTAGTCATTGGCACAGGACAAGATTATAGTACCCAAGTGGATGCGCAAGCACAGGTGCACTCTCTATTCCTTAACTCTCATAGTCCAATGGGACGGTAAATCGACACGAGCGGAGAGAGATCAAGCGCAGGATCAACGGCGTTTTCCTGACTCCGGGCAGATAATGAGTATTTCTTGACGGGAAAAACTTAATAACTGATTTTTTTGGATTCGAACCCGGGACCTCATGATCAGCAGTTGCATTTATAATCACGAGGCAGTCAATTTATAATGATTAAGGATATTATTGCAATCTATTATGGCAGTCTCTAAATAAATAAATGTATGTATGCTAACAGGCTTATTAATAAATATTTTTTGTTTCGTATAGGTCTTCTGTAAGTATTCACAGTTCTAAAAGCCTCAGCTCCTCAAAAAAAAGTCAAATAGTGCTTCAAAAGTTGTACGAGGATATAGTGCTGCCGAAGAAGGAAACAAAAATGTTAGTGTTAGTAGAAAGAACCCCGGTTATTTTAAATATACATTTAGTTTATTCTCTCACAAAAAAAAAAACTATTGAATTTTATAGATCGTATTTCCCGCCACATTTTCCTGACCAACCAGCTGATATTCGTCTGTGTAGTGAAGAGCAACGACTACGCTGGTTGAACCGACTTTCAAGGCTTTTGAATCCTCATAAAAAGACACGCTAAGATCAAGTACATGAAACCAAATATCTTCGCTTATTGTTATGCATATGCAATATGTGATAACATGATATATATTTATACATGCTTTTTAAAAAAAATACGTAATTGAAAAGGAATTGAGTGACATTGCTCAATAATTTACAATAAATATTTATAATTTATTTACAAATATACAATACTATTCTGTGTATTTCATTGTTTTATTTTTATTTAATGGCGGTGGTACAAGAAAATCATTTACTTATAAGTGTCGCAATCGATTAAGGGTATGCTAGAAAAAGGTTGTGGCTAAAGACAGATGACCATTTAACTCTCCATTTAATCAGCTTATATCTAAAAAAAATAGCTTTCTACAGATTATTGCAAATGGCAGCGAATTTTTTTTTATAGGAGAGGGGCAAACGAGCATGCGGCTCACCTGATGGTAAGTGACTACCGCCGCCCATGAACAACCGCAACACCAGGGGAATTGCAGATGCGTTGCCGGCCTTTTAAAAAGGAGTAGGCTCTTTTCTTGAAGGTCCCTAAGTCGTATCGGTCCGGAAAAATCGCTGGTGGTAAACTATTCCACGAGGAAGTTGTGCGAGGAAGAAAACATCTTCTAAATCGCACAGTGGTGGACCGCCAATCATCCAGATGGTATGGATGGTATCGGGAGTTCTGTCGGAGATGTGCGTTCGTGAAATTTGGCGGCTGGGATTAATCCGAACAATTCCTCAGAGCACTCCCCGTGGTAAATGCGAAAGAAAATGCAAAGAGATGCAACATCTCTTCGCAGTGCCAATGAGTCGAGCCGATCGGAAAGGACTCGGTCGTCGACGATTCGAACCGCTCTGCGCTGGATGCGGTCAAGTGGAAGGAGCTGGCACTGGGGAGCCCCAGCTGAGATGGGAACAGTATTCCATGTGAGGCCGAACCTGCGCCTTGTAAAGTTGCAGGCGTTGAGCTGGCATGAAATACTGTCCCGCTCTGCTGAGCACGCCAAGCTTTTTAGAGGCCAATTTGGCCTTCTCTTCCAAGTGACTATATTTTAAGTCATCTGAGTACATAAATGGTACGGTTAGATAAAAATAGTAAGTTGTTGTTAATAAACGCATTAAAAAGGGTCCATTACAGACTAATGAACCGTCATTAAACAGGTAACCTTGCGGCAGATAGAGTATTTTAATTAGATTTAAGCCCATTCAAGACAATACGATTTTCTATCACCCAATAGGGAACCACGTGATGCAGCCACGCACAACCATAATATAGCTATATTATGGTTGGAGTTCGAATGGGTCGTTTCGGCCGGCGTGGCGTAGGACCACGCTCTCGGAGAGTACCATGCCGTTTCGTATGATGAGTGTAGAGAACCAGTGACCCTTTTTACTGAAAGCGAGGCATTCCATCTTAATCGTCATGGGTAATTGAAAATAAATGTAAATGTCTATAGGCACCAGTATCCGCCTAGAACTGTGTGTTCGTTTGTCACCCTTATTTTATATAAATATAAGTATACATATACAAGTGGTAAAATTAAAAATGTTGTTCAACCGACTTCAATATAAATTATTAAGGATATACTCAAAAACTACTGGTAAGACCTTGATCAAATTTATATGGGACCACATAAGAAGCACGAGCTTCAAATAAAAATCAAAAGAATCATCGAAATCGGATCAGCTATAAAAAAGTTTTTTTTTTAATTACATACAGTCGGAATTGAGTACGTCCTCCTTTTTGAAGTCTATTAAAAACTGTCTATGGGCCACAGCAACCACTTACCATCAGGTGGACTGTGACCAACCTATTTATAACTTCATCAAAACAGCATTTTAGTTGGTAGGGGGTGGGGACACATGCCTAATAAAAGTACCGCTTTATAGTTAAATATTTCGCAAACGGACTACTGAGGCGAAAAAATTTTTATTCCATACCTACACAATGGAATGGACGGGTAAAAAAATTGAAGTGCCCAAAATAAAAATGTTATCAACAATTTATTTTACATCTTTATACACGTGATTAATATCTATAACTAAACCTAATTACTGCCTTCCACCTTCCACCTTCGTCGCACATTGGCAAGACCACGGGAACGCTTTCGCACGCGTCCGCGGCCCCACTAGCGCTGGCCAACCAAGAGGGTAGGGAGAGCGACGCCAGCCATCGTATCAATCAATGGTGCGGTCCCATCAGAGTCGCGGAGGATAGGGCGAGTGAAGGATAGCGCATCGCAATACCCACACTCCTATTACCTGACAACATCTACCTGCCTCCTCAAATCCAAAGAATTTATTTATTTATTTATTTCCGCTAAAAACTCAGCAAATGGTGTTTGCGATTTATTTTTATCATATTATATTAATGATTCCTATATAAAAGCAAAGGTAGACAAAGTACTAATATGTCGATAGCTACTAAACATATTAATTTCGTTGTCTTATTGAATGAGTAAAGCTGCAGCTTATATACATCCGACTGCTGGGCTCAAGCCTCCCCTCATTTCTGAGAGGGGTTAAGGGCAAGGAAATGTCCGCTGCGCTGCCCAATGCGTGTTGGCGAACTTCACGTCTTCGAAATATTTTTTTTCTTATTTCTCAGACATGCAGGTTTCCTCACAATGTTTTCCTTTATCGCCGAGCACGTGGTAAATCAGCACTTAAAATTGCAATTAACAATTTTCTTGTTGCCGGCGGGGATCGAACCCGGTTTGCTTGCGTACTGTGAAACTTACAGCGAGCGCTAACCATCTGAGCTACCACGGCTCTGAGTATTAGTAACTTTCGTAATATTACGAAATTAACTAAATGTGAAAATATAGCTATTTGCAGTGATTTATTGTAAACTAGCTGTGCCCGCGGCGTAGCTCGCGTATACAGGTTTTACATAAAGAATTTGTCGTTTAGGTAAGAGAATATTAAACGATTTATTTCATTACTGTATCAATAAGTGGTAACAAAATAAATCATTATCATCAAAGTTCTAAGTCGTTTATGATAGAGCTTCTGTGTAAACGACGTTAGAAGTAGGCTTAGCCGGGGTATACACAAAAAGGTTACGGGGGCTACTAACGCGGGAAAAAGCAACATAGAGTTGGCCATGTGCAAAACAGTCAGTACTGAGGTACACTCCTACAACGCGTAAAGTTTATTTACGGTCATCGCATAACACACACTCACTGTAACTGGGAACTGAACGCGCTTAAAACTGAAAGGAAAGTTACTTCTTAATAGAGGGTTTTTGGGCAGTGCTGCCAGATAAAAAAAAAACTCATTCAGCTCTAGGACAACACAAAAAGCGCTAGATTTCATGAAAACAGCGCTTTAAAAAAGCCCTAGATTTCGCGCTAAATTAACTACAAACAAAGTTTGTGTTTTTTTATATAATCATATTAAAGAAAACAACATCAAGTTTTTTTCTGGCAATATTTGTTTGATGTATCAATACTTCGCAGGACATCGACTTACAATTATAGCAATTGCTGTCAACAGTAGTTAGTACTGTACGAACAATAAAAATGTCATTAATTGTTTTAAAGTGCAATGTATTTCGCAACTTAGTTTCAGATGTCAGCATCTGATTGCGGTTGCTACACAGTTTCTTTGTGTTATAACTTCTAAGTAACTTTTAACTTAGCTGTGCTCTAAGCAACTGACTGAAACTGAATAAAGCAAAATAAATGCGTTGCCAAAACCATGAACGAAAACTTTAATAAAGGGGATTTCCCCGCTTATAGTCGTCGGTAAAAAAATCAAGTTGATCATCCTAAAGGGGAAGCCAGGAGATCCATAGCACAGGGTATCCTAGTTTGGACTCGTCTCCCATGCTCTTTGTTTTGTGGAAAAAATATGTTTGAAAAAGATAAACTGCAATGTACTATTTGTGGGAAAAAATAATAAAGGTCATTATTATTATTATCGGTAATGTGGACTAACAGTGCTGCTATAAAAGAGTTAATAACCCGCTAGTCGCTAAAATATTGAAATGTGTGCTAAATACACCAAAAAGCGCTGGATTAAGCGCTAGGTACTAAAATTTCGAAATGCGCGCTATACATTCCAAAAAAGTGCTAAATCTAGTTCCCTCAAAGCGCTAAAATGGCAGTTCTGATTTTGCGTATATTGTAAATACAATATCACGACATTTCATTGCAAAATTTTTATTTTTGGTCGGGTTTCGTTGTATGGCTTCGATGGGTACAAATTTCTTCAGTAAGTCTCAATACGATTCATCGGCGAAAAATCTCAACACAGCAATTCAGAAAAGTTTGTAATTTGTACAACTCCATCTATTACGTCCTTTGTGCGAGAAAACATCCTATCTCTTTTTGTGTTTTAAGTATAAATATATTAATTATTATGGAACGTTTTTTTACACAGAAATCTTTTTATTACTATTTCTGAGATTTTATGGCGCCATTGAACAAATTAGAACCTACATTTCAAAATAATAATCATTACTTTCGATAGAATTAACCAATTTTAATAAAACAAAGATTAAATGTGACTCGAAGATACGATTTCTTTGAAAATAAAAGATGTTTACTTTAGACGTGATGCGTTCATATAATAACAGACAAATAGACAGACAGACAATTCTAAAAATTATAAAATGTTCTTATTTAATTATTTTCAGTTCATCATAATGATTTTAGCCACTAAAATATATATACAATGTACAGAAAGAGATACAACATGTTATCATCATTTTTATTATATGAATATATTTAAAGAGAGATGGCGCTGCTAACATCATCAATTCTAAAAATAAAAGAGATTAATTGACGCGATTGATACATTATATAAAACGTAAGAGAACTTATAAATCAGTGCCTGCACAGTAAGCAAAAAATAAAGTTTGACTCTCGCCAAAACCAATGCAATTGTTAATAGCTCTTTTAAAATTTGATTTACCACATAGAGTACTCGGCGGTAAAGAATAAATTGAGTTTGTCAACACGCAGTAGGGCAGCGAGTAATATAATAAAGATTAGCAGTAAATATGAAAACTCATCTACAGGAAAAAAACCACATTTGCAATTGCATTACATTTTCACAAACCACCATCTATCGAAGAAATGGGTTAACTATTGTGCTTCAGATTTAGTTAATAACGTTAATATATTTTTGTATAATATATTTAATACGTTCTTTATTACTTTTGTTTACTGCGTTTTAGATATACATAATTATATCATTATTTTACATAATTTAACTATGATTTATGATATGATATTAGTTTAAAATGCACTTGATGACTCAAACAAAGCCACCGTTGAGCAAATTCGTACCTATACTTCCCTACCCATACTTCAGAATATTTATCATAACTTTTGATGGAATGAACTGATTTTAATGAAATGAAGACTAAATGTAACCCGAAGATACACTTTATAATATCCTTAACAATTCTTATGATATAAATTAGTACTTTATACGTGATACGTTAACAAACAAACAGACAGACAGACAGACAGACAGAAAATTCTAAAAATGGTAGAAATGTATTTAATTACTTATTTTTAGTACCCCTCAATCACTTTTATTACAAAAATATAAAATGTACAGACATCTGCTATTTACAGTTTTATTATATGTATAGATTATGTGGTTGTAAAGCTGCAGCTAGTTCTTCGTTGCATTCGACAATAAAAAACGTCATGATTTCTTATATTTTCGCGAGCACTACACATTGAATAAAACTACTTTTACGGATTCTATCGCGTTTAATTAACTTATTTTTATTAATTCCCGACGTTTTGGGTGCTTTACAGCACCCATGGTCACGTGGGACTGAGGTGATTGACGTCCTGATGTCAGAGTTAACCCGGAGTACCTCCAGCTTTTTTAATATGAAGGTACTCTATTATAGTACTATTTATATTTCGTAAGATTTAGTGGGAATTGGTGAAAAGACTCTTTTTACTGGAAACGAGGCATTGCATCTTAGTCCTTACGGGAAACAACGCATCTGCACTTTGATTCGTAATCGAAGATAGATGTAGATGTCTATGGGCCACAGCAACCACTTACCATCAGGTGGACTGTGTGCTCGTTTGTCACCCTTATCCTATAAAAAAATTTGTGACTTAATACTTTAGGAGATATTACCCTTTTTTTTGGGAGGATTCCTTAACCTCCCTTCGAAAACACCCGTCTGAGATGTGATTCCTATTTAAAGATTTAGTGGCTAATTAGTGAATTTATATGCCGAGATTGAAACATATTGCTCCAACAGAACCGGACTTATTCATATGTCTTAGGGAGGATTCTGCCTTAAAGATTACTATCATAACTCCAGAACGTCTACGTCTTTTGCTGTGAAATATGTGTTAAGATTTAGTGACAGTTAGTTAAAAAAAATTTATCAGGTAGAACTTAGTGGAAAAGTTACTTAAAGTGCTATGAATACAAAGTTTTGGTGATGTAGCATTAAACTGCTTATGACAAATTAATAATAGGCAAAAGAAAATAATCACGTAGCATTTATTTAATTCTAAAAGTAATGCTACATTTTCCTCTCAATGGTAGCACTGGATTTTATGAAATTATCATTGGATTGGTTAAAATTAATAGCTGGTTTTAGACTCAGTTTGCTAACTATTTAAATTACATACTTTAAGGAAAACCAAAACACATCTTTGAAGTGATAAAAGTAGCTAGATTTAAAGCGAGACAGTGTTAATACTTAGGTCGTTACATATGAAATTAGCGTTTTGTCGTACTGACCACTTTGATCTGAAATATCTCCTCTTTGGTTAAGAATTCCAAATTCAAATTTATAAATTCATTTAGCTGGTACATTTGAGTTTTGAAAACAGTCATTCATTTGTTTTTTCCTCATTATTTTTTTTCTTTGGCGTCGCTTATAACCGCACAATGGAAAACATGAAATATCGGTATATTTAAGGGTACGAGTTCTACCGTGGCACCAGTGCTGCAGAAACAGCTCGAAGGATTAATGATGTGTACGATGCTGGTGTCGCAAAAGAAAGCACGGTACGTTTTTGTTTTCAACGTTTTCGTTCTGGAAATTTCCACCTTCAGAACCAACCCCGTGGACGGCCGGAGACCAAAGTGCAAAATGAAGAATTAAAGGCTATTGTGGAAGCAGATCCATCACAAAGAACTTCAGATGTAGCTGCAGGCTTCGGGGTAAGTGATAAAACTGTATTAATCCACTTGAAGCAAATCGGGAAATTAAAAAAAAACTTGAACGATGGGTATCTCATGAATTAAGTGAATCGAACTTGCAAACACGCGTCGACTGCTGTGTTACTTTGCTCAACAGACACAATAATTAAGGGATTTTAAATTGAATCATTACTTGTGATGAAAAGTGGATATTGTTCGATAATCGGAAGCGCTCGTCGCAATGGCTGAACCCTGGAGACCCAGCCAAATCTTGCCCTAAACGAAAATTGACTCAGAAAAAGTTACTTGTGAGTGTTTGGTGGACTAGCGCCGTACATCCACCGTACTCCCCGGACCTTGTTCTAATAGATTACCATTTTTCCGGAATTTGGACAACTTACAAGGAAGAAAATTCAACACCGATGCGGTAGTCCAAACCGACTTCAAAAAGGTTATTGATTTTCGCCCCCGTGGTTTATGAACTACCTATGAGATGGCAAAAGTGCATAGATAACAACGTTGCATACTTTGATTAATTAAATATATTTTACAAAAAAAAATTGAATTTATATTCCTCCCGTACAAAACGCCAACTTCATATGTAAGGACCTAATAATAAGGTAGTTTGATTTCATATGCAGTGTCGTGTAGATGTGGCGTGTAGCGGTCTAAGTGAATATATGACCTTATTTTGCACCAAAGGAGTAGTATGGAGCATAATGGAAAATGCCTTAAAGAACTCAAAGAGATAATGCTATTATCTATCTAAGCCGTAAAATTTTTTGGTTTATGCCGTCGGCACGCCACCCACGGAACGAAATGGAGTAATGCATAATTATCATATTGGGTATAGTAACTTCTTATTAAGCGCAAACAACACTACTACCGGCACTCGCAAAGTAAACATTTCACGTACATTGTCCGTAAATAATTATTCAAAAGTGGTGTCTAAGTGCTCTGATGTGTTTGTGACGTGTACCGGGATAAAGCTCGTTAAGTGACCTATCTCTTGGTATAATAACATCGCATAATTATCAAGAATCCAGTGAGTAATAAGCTAATTCGTTAAATTATAATTTATGAACACGACACGTGCCCGCTGCTGTGACGTAGATACTGTGTTGTTGTGACTACTGGCCGCTCCTTGTCAATCGACCGCCACAGCCGTATCGCTCCTGCGTTGCGTTGCTTTCTTCTTATATTGTGTAAGGCGCTGAGAAACTATAACAAGCACCGATATGGATTTTAACGTTATTTGTGGCGGCTGTAAGATGATTGTTAAGGATAAATACTTCATAAGCTGTCATGGATGCAAGCAGATGTATGACCTTGAGTGTGAAAGTCTCTCGCCGAAACGACTGAATAAGATGAATGCTGAGAATAAACGTGAATGGCGATGCTTGGAATGCAAAAGTAAGAAACCAAAATCAGATAACACTAACACGCCAGCGCGACCGTCCGCCCACTATGCACCAACTGCTCCTTATGATGAAACCTACACTGAATGCTACTCGGACAGCAACATAACACTGCGGAAAAAGCCAAATTACTTATCTAATAGTGAGCTAAAGGAGCTTTTTAAAGCTAAGAGGGCTGAGACAAGGGCTATTGTTGAGGCTTATTCTAAGGGATTATCCGAACAACTTAAAGGCATGAATGTACAATTTACTAGTTTTCAAGAGTCTATGACCTACATAAACTGCCACTAAACTACAAAAACTAAAAAAGATCTGAAAAAGGAAATTACTGACTTGAAAAAGCTGCTCAATTCTACTTCACTAGAATTGAGGTCCCTGAAAGAGGAGAACAATATGATTAAAGAATGTCTTACTACTTGCTCTGCCAGAGTCAAAGAATTAGAGGTGGAGAACCGAAAACAGCAACAATGGCAGAGATTGCAAAACCTTGAACTTGTTAACATACCTGAAGACAAGAATGAGGAGTTACTGAACATTGTGCTGAAAACGGCGAATCACGTCGGTGCTGACATCCAACCCACAGACATAGAATTCGCTCACAGAGTACAGCCGAGGCGTAACGCAAGCGCTCATAGAGCACACCCAGTAATCGTCAGATTCAGACAGCGCTCTATTAAGGACCGAGTGATCGCTGCAGCACGTAAACATCGCAACATGACCACCAGAGATATCGGGATAGGAGGTGAAGAGTGCAGAATCTATATCAATGAACATCTCATTAAAGAAAATAAAATGTTGTTGGGTTCTTGTAGGCAAAAAGCAAGAGAGACAGGGAAGTGTGGACAAAAAACTGCCGAATTTATGTCAGAAGAAACGACACCTCGACTCAATTTGCGATAGACTCGACGAGCGATCTTGGAAAGATATTGTAATTAATTGCCTTGCTCTCTACTCTTACACTTCTCACACTTCTTATTATATTGGTGGTCATTTTAACACACAGCATACACAAATACACATACATTATAAAATCTACTTACACTCATATTCACATTATACACTGCATATACACATCACATACCTTAGAAACAATTGCATATTATCCTAAACTCTTATCCTTACTGCATGTACAAATATATCCAATGCTCATTACCATATATGTCACTCAAACTCTGCGTAATACCTACTCACTATTTAAACCATTCGTTTATCATTGCGCGGTTCAATTGATTTCGACCGTCCATATAACCAACTGCAATTATATATGTCTTGTCTATATTTTTCAACACACTCAATGTAATCAAGATGAACAACAATAATATAAGAAAATTAAGCTATTCTATCAAAACGTGAGAGAACTACGAACCAAAACCGATGATTTTTTTAAAAACGTGTTACTGCAGGACTCCGATATAATTATCATAACTGAAACATGGCTCTGCGATAGCATTTTTGATGCTGAGCTGTGTGATGACAGATTTACAGTCTTTCGTACGGACAGAGGGTCATTGGGGGGTGGTGTAATGATTATGTGTGCTTCGAATTAATAGGCACACGCCAGATCAGAATGGCATTGTAGTGGCCTGGAGTCTGTGTGGGTAACTATTCCTGCTAAAGCTATCAAAGCCAGGCATAATTTGCATATTGCTACAGTGTACATCCCACCCAATGATCAAATTCCATCAAGATTGCACATATTTATGAATCAACTCTCTGAAATCAAAAGCCAAAACTGCAATGATCACTATATAATTGCGGGCGACTTTAACCTTCCTATCATTGACTGGCAATATGGGGAACCTGCATCGAGTTTTGTCACTCAGTCTTCCTTTCTTGGCTTGTCACAGTTTAACAATTACACTAATAACTGTAACTATTTTTAATTTTCTCTGATTCGTCCGTCACCATAAAGAAATATACGATGCCTTTAGTAAAGGAAGATCCTCTACATCCGACTTTTTCTATTGTAGCTTCCGATATTCTAGTCCCTCCAATTAAACCTCAATCTCGCACTAAATATCTATATAAACGAGCTGAATTTGATAGTATCAACGAATCGCTTAGAAATCAGGACTGGAGTTTTTTTACTCGAAAATAGTAACATAGAACACATATTAACGAAATTTTACTCGATTTTAAATAATATAATACAAACCTTCGTACCACAAGTTCGTTGCTCAAGTACATACATTTACCCAGTTTGGTATAATATAGCGTTAATAAAACTAATTAAAGAAAAATATAGGACTCATGTGAATTAGAAGCGTCATAGAAACCCGATTGATTATGCACATTTTAGCTATCTCAGACGGACTATTAAGAAACTACAGACTGAAAGCCATCAATCATTAATTGCTTTCTCGCAACAAAGAATTAAGACTAATCCTAAATATTTTTGGTCTCATATAAAGTCCAAGAGAAAAGTAGGCTCCTCTTATCCACATCAAATGACCTTTGAACAGAATGTGTTAAATGCACCATCGGATATCTGTTCCGCATTCAGCAACTTTTTTGAGAGAAACTTCTATGAACCAGCGGATCAATACCCAGCTAACTCAATAAATGAAACTCCACGATCTGACACTATACATGACATTAATGTTACTGAAGAATGTATTTATGAACTGCTTAAAAATCTTGACGTCCATTCGATGTTGGTATTCCACCGGTATTCTTCGTTCAATGTGCTAAATCTCTATCGGGCCCTATGTCATTGGTCTTCAACAGGTTTCTTCGTGATGGATACTTTCCTAATATCTGGAAAAAGGCCCATATAGTGCCAATTCATAAAAAAAGGATTGAGGACTTCAGTTGAAAACTACCGACCTATATCTATACTTAACGTGTTGAGCAAAGTGTTCGAGAGGGTCGTACATAAATTTATCTATCCTGTAATATCTGTCTCAATACCAATAGAGCAGTATGGGTTCATGAAGGGTCGGTCCACACACACACAGACACACAAGCGCGCGCGTATCAGAGAGAAAGATAGACGCGCTGTTTTTAATTGTTAATTTTAAAATTGTATGTTTTTGTGGCTCAAACTTATTGATTGTCGGTCGATTAATTTAAGTTAAAAAATGTATAAAATAGATCCGTTATTGGCTTTAAGTTTATTTCTTAAGTTCATTTACATTGTAATTAAGGGGTTTGGGTCTTGTAATAAATAAATAAATAAATAAAGCGTATATAACACACATTAAGTCGTCATATATAAAGGTTTATAACTGAAGAACCAAAATGCTTGATGAACTTGATGAAGGTTTAACTTTAAACATAGATTGAGTTTTACAAAAATTCCTCTACTGGTAGAAAAATAAGGATTAATATATCATATTTATTTATTTAATAGTTTATGTACATACATACATAAATAAATAGGAAAATGGTAAAAAGAATTCATGTACAAAGGCACTGCTTATTTCATGTTGAAATTTCTTCCGGCAGGTTTACTCGTACAATCAAACACTATTTTCACGTACATACGAGTACAATCGATTGGTCAGCGCATGCCGATAAAGCAGCTGGGCACCATTTTTTCCGACTTATGCACACGTTACACCCTACACTTATCGCCTACCTTACCAGCACGAGGCTGCAACTAGGGAACTTCTTCGACAATTTCCTCATTGGTTATCGGTTCTTAGAGCTATATGGCCGACCCTTTAGCTTTTTTAGCTATATTATGCTTGTAGCATGAATGTGTCGGCTAGACCGGCGTTGGACTATACTCTCACAGAATGCCAGGATAAAATAGCAGCTTAATGCTGATGTTTCGTATGGTGAGAACCGCAAATGGCAGCAAATTTTAAGTCATCTGAGTACATAAATGGTACGGTATGATGAAAACAGTAAGTTATGTCGTTAATGAACACGTTAAATAGGGTCCATTACAGACTAATGGACAGCCATTAAACAGGTTCTAGATGAACACTTTGCGCCACACTTGAGGTAGAATATTTTGAATTAAATTAAAAGCCATTAAAGACAGCATAAAAACTACGATTTTCTATGTATCATTTTATCCCACCCAAGAGGTATCCACGTAGTAGAGCCACGCTGCAGCTATATTATGGCTGTAGTACGAATGGATCGGTTCGAATGGGCTAGGACCACGCTTTCGCAGAATACCATGCTATTTCGTATGGTCAGTGTAGAGAACCAGTGACGATTTTTACTAAAAACGGGGTGACAACGCATCTGCATTTTGATTCTTAATCGAGGATAAATGTAGATGTCTATGCGCCACGGCATTCATTTACCATCAGGTGGACCGTGTGCTCGTTTGTCACCCATATTTTATAAAAATAGTACTGTTCAAAAGTTTTTTCTTTGGAACATGTTGGGTTTTCCGAGAAATTGCGCAATTGGATCACTAGCTTTCATCATTTTCATCAAGGTAGTAGTAGTAGACAGTGCTTGCTCCGATTACAATCGCATAAATTAACTGGTGTTACACAAGACTATGTGCTATCTTCTACAATGTTTTTTCTGCATATCATTGATATCTTGCAAACCAGCACTCGTGATGCTTTATACACCGATTGTGCCAATATTTCTCGGGAAAACGTCGCCGAGTACCGGAATAAACTTGAGTCTGAAGTTGAGACGTTGTTGAACAAAGTCTTGGACTGAGGGCGACTAAATCTAGTTCAGTTCAATCCCCAGAAGACACAAGTTTACGCGTTTCCCGCTACAAAGAACTCCTTTGTCATATCTCATCAGTGTCAGGACACTCTCCTTGTTGCCTCAGCCAGTATCAGAATCCTCTGCGTCGACATATCGAATGACATGCAGTTTCGTGGTTACGTGGAAAAAAAGACTAAATTGGCCTCTAAAAATCTTGGCAAGACGCCAAGCTTTTACCTTTTTCTTCCGCCAAATAGTAGTGCTTTGTTTCGGCTTAAAGGATATAAAGATCCAGTATAATTACAAACTTTGAGACCTTCCATTTTATTTCTCAAAGGGGACAAGGGGTCGGTTCTAAAAATCCTTCTTTCATGGAAGTTGGCTCCAGGTGTGAATGTACTGTAGTAGCAGGTCGTTTGTTAGATCGATTGTCACTACAGTTTTATAAAAAACGATGTACGATTTCAAAATTCCCAGAAACACAAAACACTGGTTTTTTAATTTGCCCTAATTTAAAAAAAAATATGTAAATACCAAGTATAGTGGTTTTGAGTATTTATATTAATATTAAATAACAAGTACGACACTATACGGTATTTTCTCTTTCCGGTGGTTTACATTTTTTATATTAGTCATGTTCGAAATTGCTACAACTGTTGTGG